TTTGTAATCACCTTGAAAAGCCACCTTGATGCCTTGCAGCCTTTGAAAGACCACCTGAGATAAGTTATAAATGATAGTTAATGATAATACAAAGATATCTAATTTGTATGCTTGATTTTGTCTTCCTTTTTTTAATAATCATTTTGAATATTATTGTTTATGATATTAAAGAAAACCTCTATGAGATATATATGAATACAATTTTCCTTGCCTACATCTGCATCAATTAAGAAGTCACAGCTGATTGAGTAATTGTTTTAATATGATTACTATGAGATTATATCTATATTCGGAATAAAAAAAAAAAAAAAACAAAAAAAACAAAAAAAAAAAAAAAAAAAAACATAAATTTAGAAACATAAACATACCAGCCAAACAATGAAATAAGCTACATAAATCGGCTATTCCATCTATTTACATTGTAGCTTGAAATTAATCAATAACGGTTCTTATTCTTTTTTCTGATTTTTATTCTATATGATATAGTTGGTCCGAAAAACACATGTCATATTACGGAATATTTTCTTAAAGTCCATGACATCGATAAAACAAAATAAGTAGTTATAATATAACTACCAGAAGATGTCAATGTGACGGTTAGATATCTGCAGGGTCACCGTCAACACACAAATGACCAGCGGATGGTACGGGACTCTTTTCAGCTGTAGTATAATTATACATTCATTAAGGTATAAAATAGTGTACCGAGATGGTAAAAAATGTAAAAATTATGTATATAAGATGGTCATAATGTACTATATTCGATTAAGCTAATCTACGTTTTATACGATATATCAATTGGGTGTCATCGATTTGATTTATAAATCATTTAGTCCCATAACAAAAACATTTTAATTAGAAAAAATGTTCTAATGTTTTCTATCCAAATCATGAGTGCTATTGGTTAATTCGTACTTTCCAGATTTCCAGATTTTGACGTCACACTCGTCGTGCTATTCAGACAAGAACATGTTCCTAGTCGACTGTTATATGTAGCTGCATTCGATGCAACATCTATAGAACAGTGAGAAAGACACATGACCAACGATAACGTGGTATTGATCAATAGCGATGGACTGTACAAATGGTCAACTCCGGCCACGTCTTCAACCAACTACATGTAGTTGTTGACGCTATCTCTAGAATAAAAACCAACTGATGAAGTTTCGGTGTCTAAAATATTTGTGTTATACTCAGTGTTTATGAACTATTTGAGTGATTATTAAGAGGTTTCAATGCTTTAATTAAGAACACGGAAGTAAACGGCTTGTACCGTGAAGATAGCGTGATATTAATATCCGTCGTTAAAATTACTCTACAGAAAATGCAATTTTCAACATTCACGCTTTTCAGGTTTTACGAAATAAAACGTGTTCAAGCAACTTCACACCTAACCCTGTCTACCGCCACGCCTGTAAGCCTATCCTGCATTGTAATTGCACTTTCATTGAAATATGGATAGCCAAGACTGTACATGTCGGCCTTACAATATTGATCATTAAAATTTGATATTGATTTTGATATAAGTTAAGCCATTGTTTGTCATCGTAATGAATTGGTTTTTTTAAAACATCATTATTATTACAAAAATTATAAAATTTAGCTTCTTGTGAATCACAAATGGATGATCCTACATCATATTATTATACCGTCAAATAACTAATAGTAGTAAAATTGTCCTTGTAGTGTCCATTGTAGAGGTCAGTTTCGAGAATATAAACCAACAATATCCAACACCATATAAACTCGATTGAACTGCAGTATCTGCAGAGCTAAACTAAGATATCCCAACCCGCACTTCTTTACAGAGGGCTAGAAATTTGTTAACACGAAACAGGTAATTAATACAGACCAATGCAGACTAATTAGGAAGCCTGATAATTATATCATTACCTGGAGTAATAGCCTATTAATTGTTACGGTGTTTTTAGTTTACAGATTTATAAATAAATGTAAATATCAATAGATGGCACAGAGAGAGTTTTGTCTCATTTTCTGTGGAGATTTATAAGAACGTTAGATATATGGTTCCCCCGTTGTATCGTTACTTTATATTACTTTCTATCCTGTTATCAAGCTGGTAAAACACAACTATTACAGTTTTGTGCTTTCGTTTAAGACTTGATACTAATGATTTTTGTTTTCTGGATTAAGTTTGTTTGTTGTCTTAAATGTTGTGTGTTTTCTGTGTCTGTTGCTTCATTAGAAACTTGGAGTTTGGTAAGTCTTGATATGTAGTTTGTTACAAATGTTTATGTTATGTAGATGTCTAGCGTTACATTTTCTACCCCACTGGTGCTTCAGTTATAACACGTATATTGTTGTAAACATGACTATAATGATTTTAATTACTTTTGTCGTGATAGCATGTAGCAAAAATGTTTTAAACGAAATAAAAAGATAAAAATATGCAAGAAAGGAAACAAAATGGCAGTGCTATAGTCAAGTACTCATATTACCTGTTGGCGGACACAAGGTATACGTTTGATGATTTTCATTGAAAAATAATGTTTCTAACCAAATAGACATGTCAGTTACAATGCCTGTCACGATAGTATCAGATATATCCAATTGTTGCAGAGAATATCTCTAGAAGCAAAGAAAAGCTCATAAGGCGAGGTATCCAGTTATTCAATACCATAATCAGACCTATATTTCCACAAATTTCAACTGTACCTATGAGCATCTATGATTGCACAGTCTACTGTTTTTTTCAGATTTTCTTATAAAATAGCAGCCATTGTTCCCGAAACCAGATCTGTTGTGGAATTCATAGGACATCATAAGGAAATCTTATTCTTTTCTCATCTGTAAATGCGTATTTACTTCTTAGGATTGGCATTAAATTCTTCTCTTTTTAATTTAACAACCACTTGATGTGACTGGAGAATTTGGAAGTGAACGCTCAGTTTTGTATCATTTCTAGATCACGCAATCGAGTTATTGAATTATCAAGATTCGACGAAAAGTTATTGGGACGGGGGCTATTCTAAAGACTTCTACAATCAGGTAATCAAGATATTTCGTTGTCAAGATCAGAAAAGATGTCGAGAGGGCTGTTCTGAACACTATGTTCTAAAATGAGGTAATCAAGATATTGGGTTGTTAATTTCGTATTTGTAACACAATGATTAAAGGCAAGACAAATTCGTTCTGTAACATATGTTACAACCAACCTTTCTGGTTAACTTAGGTACATAGTATGTTCAAAGTATAAACAATTAAGATATACAGTTTCCCACAAAACGTTATGGAAAGTTTTCTTTAGAAAACATACTCAATCTAAACTGAAAGGTTAGCACATAATTTTAGCTTTTAATGACGAAAAATAAATTACATTAAATGACAAGTATTTACAATACGAGAAATACCAGTTACTTAAATCCCTAGAACTAAGATTTCATCAAATCTTGTCATTTATCGACTGTACCAAAATACACATCCTGAATTATTTCTATGACTGATATGATGTATACGGGGGATACTTGATTTAACGTAACATAAGTAGTGTTAGCTTAGTTTTTATGTTATTTTTCTGTTAAACAATAAATATATTACTTTCAAATTGATAACACACAAAATTTACAATATTACGTGCTCCTGTCCAGTCGTGATGTCTTGTGATGTCTCAAACATCAAATCAATCTATTCTTGCAAGAATGACTTCTAAATTTGTCATCGTTTTAGTATGCATCGCGGCTTAATTGTTTTCCTGTGCAGAAAGCGTGTCTTTTTCTAAAAAATCGACCGAAGTATGTAATTGCTTTCTGAGCGTTCCTTGAGCTAGATACAGATAAACAAATCAGTTTGATCACAAGAAATTAAAGTTAACGACGCAATACATGAGATCGGTTTAATTGCTTTGTAAAATCTATACTTTCAGTGATCCGTAATGACAATATTTTTTAACTTGGCATGCTTAACAGTACTAACTTTATTTCGAAGAGTATGTGACTGTAGTATCCAGCTCTGTTAACAAGCTCGACACTTTATGAAGCAAAACGTTGGTGTACAGATCAAATACCAAGCTACTACGTCGATACAACGTCACAGTAGAATGACAATCACTGCCAAGATTTTGCCTGTTGTCATTATCATCGTATTGACTAATGGTAAGGCAATTTATTATTTTTTTAATGTTGATAAAAAATGTAATCATTATATAGATGGTTGCTTTAGTTTTCCCCAGTGAGTTTATTGTGTTTGCATTGACTCGTTTAATTACCATTCATTACCTAGAATTAAATCCCTTCGTTAGTAAAAGCTTTTAAAAAATAGTTTTTGCCATGGTCAGGGTTAGTTATACATGTATATGTTGGATTCAGGGTCACCACGCCTTCCTGCTGGCACTTTCCCGGGTTTTATTACTTCATTTAGCAGTAATCTATGACTGTAGGGTAACGAGCAAGTAATTAAAAAGTCATTAAAAGCTTCTGGCTTCCTGCTCTACATACTGTTATGGTAGTTAAACACAATCCGTACACTTTTATATGATGGTTTTAAAGTTTATTTGGTGTGTGATGACACTTGTGGTGAGCAGCTATAAAACGCAAAGGAAAAATATATGGTATCTAAATGAACAAGTAACAGGTAGGTACGTAAACACACAATACACATATTACGGATACGTTTACACATTCTTCTTACTACCAAAGGTAACTACTTGACTCTTGGCCAGTCTGAAAATAGCACAACCATGCCCTCTGATCGTTGGATAAAAACAGGATTGGATGGGGAATGAGTCAGTGAAATATTCCACAAATCACAAAATCCGGAATATAGGGACTAGACAGAGTAAATACTGAATATCCGAACAGACGGTTTATGTTTGACAAGACACTTCCCGCCTGATATGATAATATCATCTGTTACCTTAGGTAAAGTAACATTCGAAACTGAATGTCACTAAATATACACACTCTTAGGTTCTCTTCAATTCATTATCGTGGCACAAGGACTACGACAAGTTGCAGCTAGAAGTTGTCTTTTTCGACACGCACTTCTACTTTGTAACCCGACCGCCTCCACATGGTTCAGTGACATTGATGCAGTCATCCTGCCATTTCTGTTGGGTTGAAGCGAAGAAAGAAAATTTCAACTTTTTCCAGAGCATAAATGAAGCTTGAATGCAGAGCATTGCTGAAGCCAGAACGCAGAGTATAAATGAAGCTATAACGCAAAGCATTGATAAAGCTAAATGGCGTTATTTCCTAAATTTCCACTTTGTGAACGGCTCGAATCACTAAACATGTGAAGATCTCAGTCCATCTCAGCCTTCATCACTACAATCATGTTCGTCCAAAATTGCGTAAACTGGAACGCGAGGGTGATTACCTAACACACACACTTTCACTAACACTTGACAATCTTAGCACAGAATTTGTCAGAAAATGTTCATCCACATAATTTCTTGCACTTCGCACCAACCTTAAGTTGAACCATCTTCCTGCCATAACTCTGGGGCTTTTTGACGGTTTTCATCATGCATCGCTATGCAGTGATGTTTACTATCACAAATCATTTTGCTTTGACAGTTGACAATATTCTGAGAGTTTTGTCTCGAATGCTCTGCAATCGTTTAAGGGATGTCCCACCTATGAATAGGTCATCGAATTTTGTCAACTTTTGTATGAACGACCACTGTACCAACTGATGTGTTACTGCTCACCGATGCTTGTTCTCCTGAACGCCGCGTCGTAACATTAGTATCGTTGTTGCCGCCGAATTAATAACACGAGTAATTAAAGGTTTCCTGAATAAAGCTGCAGAGAAATGAAAATTGGGGAAATGTTTCTTGTTTATAGCGTTCGTAACTTATCGCTATCTCACGCGACTTTTAACGAAAGCCGATGGACAATTTCTGACGGAAGGTTTTTAACCCACTAACGTGTTTAAATAAATTAGGGGACTGCTATCCTTGGAATCGTGCATGAAGGCTAAGACACCATTCACTGTGTCAACAAGTTGGTAAAGTTTTGTATTATCTTTGTATGTAACTGTAGATGAATTTTGAAGTTTATTTTGCAATGCTTGTTCAAGTTCCTCTGGGCTTGCATAGAATATACTTATTCTCTCCCATGCCTTCTGTAGGGCTCGCTCATGATTTCGCGCATTTGACCTTTTTAATACTAGCCCACTGAGTGATCTCTAACATAGTCTGCGGTGCGTCAGCTGGAATTAAAGCAATTCCGATTCTATCACAGTCTTCAAGTCGGTCCGTGAATTAAGAAAGTTTGATTCTTGAAAAACAAACTCATTGTTTGTTCGAGCTTCCTCTAACTCGCCTCGCTGATGTACCAAAGCTACGCTTGCCGAGGATGTCTCTGAAACATGGTTGGAGCGTCCATTGCAGTTTTTCCGACGTCAGCTAACATGGTCACAGTTTTTTTATAATTGAAGGCATACCCTTTTCTTACTTTCTCAGTTATTGCCTTGATTGTTGGTTCGTATCTAAGCAATTCATATTCCGTCTCGCAAGAATTTTGCTTACTAACTTATCTTTGTATTCGAATGATATTTTCAAATACCTACCATGCACTATAGAGAATAAGTAATGTTAAAAGTCAACATCCAGGCATCAAACTAAGCTCATCAAGTTCCTGTATGAGAGGAAGTATTTTTTAATATTATTCCTTGACATTATCTTCCAAAAGGTTTAATAGCCTTAGATGTAGGTCTATATAGGCGTTTCTGTTTATCTCTTTCTGACTGTCCTTTGTACCGGGGGAAAGGGGGTGTTATTTAAATCAATTTGTGACCCTGAATTCTGCCATTTTATACACCACGATGGCAGTAAAACATAACCTTTAAATCATGGTTTTAAAGTTTATTTAGGTGTGTGATGGCACTTGTGGTGAAAAGCTATAGAACACAAAGGGAAAATATATTGTTGCTGAATGAACTGCTACTAGATTAATCAGCATTTAAAAGTAATAGGTAGGTATATCAAAACCACAATATCCATATACCACTGTTACAAGCATTGTTTCTTATTACCCAAGGTAATTATATGATATGTTTAGTAAAATGTCTCAAAACGCTCAAATATTTCAGTTGTTGATTTGATCAATTCAATTAACTATGTGGAAACGAAATCAGACTCTTGGACCAGTGCTCGGAAACTAAAGTTTAAATCAAAGTACTGAAAGTACTGAGAGGCTAATCGTATTGAAAAATGTTCACAAATAACCGCTAAGCTATATTACTTTCCCCATACTCCTACACTTTGGAATGCAAAAATTACTAAAATAAGAGAACCAGAGGCTATTTTTCTTAATTTTAAGCTATTTTATATCTTCTTCAATTCTTATTTCAAATTTGACGACAATAATGTGAACAAATCAAAAAAGGTAAAAAAATATAACAAAATACATACAACCATATATTTATCGCTAACAAGCCAAATGATAAATAGCTCTATGATGAAGTTGACTAAATAAAACCTTTGAAATACCCAAGATGTTGCAATTACTATCCTATCAGTATGAGGATTTAGACAAATCGAAAGGACTTTATACCTACTTCTTTATTTTGAATGTATTGCAAAGTAATAGTCCTTACTTATTAAAATTATATTTGTAGTTGAGGAAAGTAGATAAGGTGTACACAGCATTTCAGATAGATTAAAGTGTAAGTAATTACATGCCTATAGTCCTTGAAGTTTCATGGTTACACTTTTCTTCCAGTAATTATGTCTATAAAGACATAGTTCTTTGAGATTAAACCAGACTTCCATATATATACAAAATTTACAATATTTTCACTACAGTTACTACTATTTCTGATCTCCAATGCATTAAATAATATCACCATGACACGCTAAATGAATAAATATGTTATGGAAATATTTCGTTCTAGTTAAATAAACATGAATATTTTGGGTTTTTTTATACGCGCTTTGTTTGAAGGAATATTTTCTTTTCAAGGAACTTTGATACACATTAAAAAACCTTGAGAAATCCGCACAATCAACCTTCATCAAATAAAACTAAAAGACAAAAAATATAAGTTATAACAGAGTCAACATCATGATCAGTACAGTATTAAAAATATATTATTCATTAATCATGAACACCAAATATACCTTGCCTACGAAGCGCAAACATTTTATCTTCAAAAACTTGAAAAAGTGTCATGGCGGTGGGTGTGAAAAACCTGAAAAAGTGTCATATCGGCGGGTGTGCGCATGGCACGGTCCAATTCGGTGACGTCTAATGAGGTAAAGTGATGTTATATATTAAGACGATCTTGCCACAACGACAAGGATTAAAACAAAATTGATGTTCTGTTTGTAAGTTTTGTTTGTATATAAGTGCTGTTAGTTGATAATTCAAGCCAAGCCCCCAGACTAGCTTCTTATCAACTCGCACGTACAGTACGTCATGTCGAGAATTCCGTAAAATATATTGTTCAAATTTTATCAATAGTTCAACCACACTGTGCTTCTTTTTTGAAATATATAGTAATCGTATTGTTATTAAAAAATGAATTAATTTTGGATACTTTTAAAATAGCGATTTGAAAGATCGCGGCATTATTTACGCAGAAAATTGCCGCTAGAGGGCTCCAACTCTTTTCGATATTTCAGCCAATGAGAAGGCCAGGATCGGTAAATTTTGTCTGAAAGGCCGTCGCAATAGGCTGTGCGTACTGAGTACGTTTAGCCTAAAAAGCACAACCATGCCGTCTGCTCGGCGGGTAAAAACGTATGATCGGATCGGAACTGTGTCAGTGACAGCGTACTAATAAACACAGTTTATAATGACCAGTTCTTCATGTTTCACGACATACTTAGCTATGTCTCTCTTACATAGTGCCTTGCAAAGGGAAGACCATGTTTCGATTATCACTATGGTACAAAAAAGATATGGGTGTTTATTACATTCAAAATATTCTGGATTACAAATCAAACTAGACAAAATAAAAACCTAATATCTGGAAAGATGGTCTACATGTGACAAGACACATACATTTGAATAAGATGATAATGTATGCACGACTGACCCATTCCAGTTTCGGTTAAATGTACAGGGAGGGACATCCTATTTTAAAAGAAACGAACAAGGATTAATCGTACCTTTAAGATTCGATTGAAATGATACACTCCATGGTTCTTTAACTAAAATCAGTTCTCAAAAGGAATCGATTGATTTAAACCAATGAAATGAATACAGGTTCTTCAGGCTGATAAAGAATGTATGCATCAGAGCATTGTCTTGCTAAATATAATAACCAATACGCTATCTATAAAGATAAGCCTACATGTTACATTTTCTGCTTCAGTGACTATGAAATAATAGTAATCTGCTGCAATGACGCTGTTGTTAACAAACACGTTAATATTTTAGTAGCCACCTTGTTGTGTTCGAACTTTATTATAACAATGACATTATCTACGTGACTGGTCTGTCCTCTCGTATTATATGTCCATGTCATTAACATGTTTGTTCTGCATATGAATTATCACCACTACGTCATAATTAGAGCATCTGGTCCTCTCAATTACGATATATAATATCGTTTCACCTCCTTGTGTAGGTAAGATGACAAATGCAGTTTCATACTATTGTGAAATTGGTGTAATTGTACACTGTGAAACGTGTAGAATTACTTGATTTCGTTTCATATATTCAATAATATCATACTGTCGCATAATGTGTATTTGTAGCAACAAATACAAAACCACTGTAGGTTTTGTCATACAGAACGACTTTAGCCTGTCAATCATATTTAAACTGTCAGTTTATTATCCCTAGATAACTTATCTGTTCAATCATATTTCAACTGTCAGTTAAGTTCCCTGATCCCTTGATAACGTATCTGTCCAATCATATTTCAACTGTCAGTTTATTATCCCTAGATAACTTATCTATTCAATTATATTTCAACTGTCAGTTAAGTATCCCTGATCCCTTGATAACGTATCTGTTCAATCATATTTCAACTGTCAGTTTATTATCCCTAGATAACTTATCTATTCAATTATATTTCAACTGTCAGTTAAGTATCCCTGATCCCTTGATAACGTATCTGTTCAGTCATATTTCAACTGTCAG